TAAAAACATCTGCTAACAAGCAGGCTCGACACTAAGTCGGTAAAAACATCTGCTAACAAGTAGGCTCGACATCCGCCAGTAAAAAACATCTGCTAACAAGCAGGCTCGACACTAAGTCGGTAAGAATATTTGATTAACAATCAGGCATCTGTTAAACAAACAGGCTCGGCATCCGCCGGTAAGATATATCTGCTAACAAGAAGGTTTGGCACTCATGTCGGTACAATCATCTGCTATCCAAGCAGGCATCTGTTAAATAAACAAGCAATGGCACTAACTCGGTGTAACACTAAGTCAGTGAAGACATCTACTACGCAAGCAAGCACGATGCTCGGTCGAAGATGGAATCAACCGATTCACAATTTGAAAGAGAACTCATAGCCAAAATCATATCGTCTAATGGTAGACGGGAAGCAAACCATATCCAAAAAATCACATCGTCTAATGGTAGACGGGAAGAGAGCCAAATCCAAGATCACATCGTCTAATGATAGATGGGAAGAAAAGATCATATCCGAAAGTCACATCGTCTAATGGTAGACGGGAAGAAATATCGTCATATCCAGAATCACATCGTCTAATGGTAGACGGGGAGAAACACCATATTCGAAATCACATCGTCTAATAGTAGACGGGAAGGAAATGTTATATCCACATCGTCTAATGGTAGACGAAAAGAAAACCATCTTCAAAGGACCATATCGTCCAATGGTAGACAGGAAGAAAACATATCCGATGAACAACATCGTCAATAGGAATTGACGGAAAGAAACACCATATCCGAAGATCCACATCGTCTAATGATAGACGGGAAGAAAATATTGTATCCAAGATCACATCGTCTAATGGTAGACGGGAAGAAACATCATATCCCAAGATCACATCGTCTAATGATAGACGGGAAGAAACATATCCAAAGAACACCTCGGCAAACTTCAGAACCACCTCGTCAATAGGAATTGACGGAAAAACTGCTGGGGAAACACATCGTCAATAGGACTTGACGGAAAGAAAATCTGCTCGGAGAAACGCATTGTCAATAGGAATTGACAGGAAAAAAATATGCTTGGAGAAACACATCGTCAATAGGAATTGACGGAAAGAAAATCTGCTTGGAGATGTCCTCATCAGAGGGTTGATGGACCAAGTACGATCGACATATGATATGAAACCCAAAAGAAAGTAAGCCGATGAATTGTCTGAACAAAACTGCTGGAGATATGCCACTGTCTTGAAAAGTGATTCAGGTTGCCACGGAAGGCTAACAAAAACTGGCTTATGTTTCGCATGCACATGTTTGAAAAAAAATTTACGGTGTAGTGCTTCATACGAAATGGAAATGCTACGCATTTGAGAATGTAATGCAAAAATGCTAACTATATGCAGAAATGCAGATGTAGGCTCGGGCTGCCGGGGAAAGTTGGATGCAAAAGAACCACTCCAGCAAAATAAATGCTGAAGAGATGAAGCCAACTCTGCTGGGGAACTGGATGTGCCAAGTATGATTGGAGTTTTGTTGGGCAAGATAAGTGAAACCTGACGGTGATTGGTTTTTTCGAAGGTGGAATTTTTCTGGGTACCAATGGGGATTGGATTTTGAAATGAGGTGCCAATGGGGATTGGACTTTCTAGTGGTTGCCAATAGGAATTGGACTTTGGTGGCTGCCAATAGGGATTGGGCTTTGGATTATCTGTGAGGGGTTAGGTACGGTTGACGCTGGAAAATGTCATGTCTGGATACAAGGTTTATGATGGCTTGTCTGGATACAAGGTTTATGATTTAAGGGCCAGGGGATGGTTAACATGACTTCCTGACATTCGTCTTGAACTTTAAGGTTGACTGAACCTGCTTGAATAGCTCTGAGTAGCTCTGAAGATATGGAGAGGAAAAGTTCATTTGTTTCCAATTTTGCCCTAGCCTGTGAGATCTTCGTATAAATCTTCCTCGAAAGGAGACCTGAAATCTCTGTACCCTGATGGTTTGATATGAACTACCTCAGCATTTTGAACCTCGGAGAGGTGCTTCCGATTAATTGCCTTCTGGACAAGGAGTTGTGCTCTTGGGGTGGCCTGCCCCAGCCTTGCAATGACTTTTCCCCTGATCGGACGATCTGAGTTGAAGATGCCTCTGACTAATCTTCGAGAGATTTATCGAATCTTGACCTGATTGCCCCAGACTAACTAAATCTTGGAATGGCTGACTCCCCTTATGTGATCATTTGATATGACTTGCCCCTGCTCAACGAAGTACTCAGGCGTTCTGCATCTTAACTTTCCATTGCGGAAATTCTCCTGGTGTCAAGTGCTTACTCGCAAGTAAAACAAACTATTTTGAAAATGATAATATTAATGCAATGCATATGACAGTTTTGAAATCCAAGTCTGTTCACTTATTGGTTTTGCAGATTCGGCAGTCTTATCAACAAAGCTAGTGTGTCTGGTTCTCTTGGCGTGTAAGGGTTTGGAGCAAGTTGTGCAGACGAGATTCAGCTTGGTGGATTCGGAGAAATCGGAGTGCGAAGTGAGCTCAGTGTGTTGGAGGAATTGATGAAGGAGAAGGATACTGGGAGATTTGGGTTTCGTGTGGTGGGTTTCATGACGAGCTTTTGAGGGATTTCCACTGCTGTTTGGAGATGGGTAGAAGAAAAGGTTTGTGGAAGTTTGTGGTTGAAGAGTAGATGAAGGTCGTTCTGGGTTTGAAGAGAAGTTTGCGAGTGGGTTTCGGACGAGATTCGAAGAAGATGGTGGGTTTGAGAATATGACTGGTTTGTGTTTGAAATGGTGAGATGAGTTCACGGCGGAAGGAAAATGAAGGTGGAAAATGGCAAGAGATAGTGATGATTGAAGGTTTCCGTCTGGGATTTTCAGAGCTTGAAGATGGTGATGAATAATGGGTTTGGAGGCTGCGACTAGGGTTTTGAATCCAAGGAGGAAGAAAATGAACAGGGTCTTATACCCTGACAAAACGACACGTGGCACCTGGCTGCTGTTGAATTTTTACTGATCTTTTGTTAATTCTGATTAATAAATAATGCTGCACTAATTAACTCCTAATTATAACTAAAGCAAATTCTAATCTAAACAATGTTCTAATAACCTAACTAATTAAAACTAATTCTAACTAACTAATTCTATATCTAAAAACTATTGAATTAAAATCTAATTCTAAAATTCTATTAAAATATCTATTTCTAAAAAAAACAATTAAAGTTCTATTTAAAAATCTATTTTCTAACTCCTATTAAAAAAATCTATTAAAACCTAAATTCTAAATCTAAATTATATATTCTAATAAACTTAAATATTAACCATTAAATGAAATAAATCACAAAAAGTCAAGAAATAAAAACGGAAAAAACAGGCGAGCACAGGAACGCAAAAAATTAACAGCACAGACTGAATCATCAGGAAGAGAGCAACTTTCGCTCGATTTCGACATGGAACTTATCAATTGAACTGGTTTAAATCGTCTAAAATGCGAGCAAAGCGGCTTAAATCCCGATAAATTCAATTCGGCTGATAACATGGGTAGCATGCGAGAAATGATCGACCTAAATGATATACAGATGAAATGCGACGCAAAAAGCCAGTCAAAGTTAGAAAACTCGAGGGCAAATTTTAGGGTGCAACAGAGTTTTAAAAAGAATTACAAGTGGGTGGTTTCTCTCACCACTTATTGCAGAGAGACACACCATACCCAAAATCTTAAGGTGATAGGTGGGTGGTTTCTCTCACTTATAAATGTTCAAGTCACAAAGGATCTCAACTGTAAGGACATCAAACGACTCTCTGCAATTCACTCCTAACAAATAGCGACTTTGTTATTTCCTAAGGCGACAAATTTAGGTAACAAGTTTCAAACGCAATTTCAATTCACTCTTCTTCCTTACATACTGACTTGAACGTTAAAATATTAATCTTACAGGTCAGTCTCATCTCCACCGCGCTTGAAGTTTTGATTCGTCGTTACTACCACTTCTCACTTCCTTTCGGATTTCAAAACTGAACAAAAGTGGTAATCTTCTTAACCTTATTTATACATTTCAATAGCTCGTTAAGATATTGAAAAAAAATTATAAGCAATGTAAAACAAAAATAGAAAATATATTGAAAAATAAATATCATACATTTTCCTTCTAAGATATCTTTGTTTTAAAACACAATACATATCAATCTCATGTCCATAATATGTCTAAAGTTGAGCTCCGACTTTATCTATACATATCTTACACGCACAATACACATTTCTGTTTATCAAAAAAAATAACCGAGACTTGTATTCCCTAATATGTGTCCTAATATATTATTCATGTCCATTACATACTAAAGAAAAACTAACTAATCAATTCAATACTAAAATATCATAAAACTTCAAATCAACATATGGAGTTTGTCATGGTTGAAATTGGAGAACCTAAATGCATTCCTAAGGTGTGTTAAATTTCTATAATTTGAAATCATACCTAATGTGTTTCTAGATTATACAATATGAACTCAACCAATAACTCAGAAAATCATTGTCTGTTTGCTGTTCGGCTTAATAATCTCATTTTTTTATCAACAAAATATTCCACTTTCTTTTTCTTTACATTTTTTAAAACTCATTCTAAGTTTTCTCCAAGTAACAACCTTGTTTTTTAGATGTCAAATGGCAGTTTCTTAGGCTTATTTTATTGAAGTAAACGGTGTTACGCTAAGAACTGTGTAGTGGCGGTTCTTACACGTATCCAAATTCTCCCCTTAAATATACTTTCTTTATAAACTTCCCCATTTCTCTTTCAAAGAAAAAATTGCAATTTGCAAGTTTCGCTATCTCTCTGTCTTTCTTAATCCAGTTGCGAATCAGACACATTACCATCCTTTCAAATTTCTTCAATCTTCATGGCAATCATTATCTAGTGTTTAGTTCACTCAACCCAGATACAAAGATTCAATCTTTCTTCTCTTTCTTGAAATTGGATGATGGAATTCAACTGAAGATAGAAACTTTGTGCAAGAATATGGCTTATCTACAAGGGTTTACTCCAACCTTGAAATTGGGTTTTGTGTTTTCATCAATAATTTCACCAAAACAGAGACACCCTTTGGTTTTCCCTTCATCAAAGTATGGATTTTCACTCAAATTCAATGATGGGTCATTCAAATTTCAAACCCCTTTAATTAAGGGAACTAAATCGGTGGAGCTTGACCGGTTTGTGACCAGCGACGACGAAGAAGAGAAAGAAGAAATGGGAGATGGGTTCTTGGAAGCAATAGAGGAGCTTGAGAGAATGACTAGAGAGCCTTCTGATGTTCTTGAAGAGATGAACGATCGTCTCTCAGCTAGGGAACTTCAGCTTGTGTTGGTTTATTTCTCTCAAGATGGGAGAGATTCATGGTGTGCTTTGGAGGTTTTTGATTGGTTAAGGAAAGAGAATAGGGTTGATAAAGAGACTATGGAGTTAATGGTTTCTATCATGTGTGGTTGGGTGAAGAAGTTGATTCAGGAACAGCGTGGTGTTGGTGATGTTGTTGACCTTCTTGTGGATATGGATTGTGTTGGGTTGAGGCCTGGGTTTAGTATGATTGAGAAGGTTATTTCTTTGTATTGGGATATGGGGGAGAAAGAAGGGGCTGCTTTGTTTGTGGAAGAGGTTTTGAGGCGTGGAGTTTCTTGGAATGAGGATGATCCTCAAGGGTATAAAGGAGGGCCAACTGGGTATCTTGCTTGGAAGATGATGGTAAGAATTTCATAATCCACACCTAGACTTTTACGCTCTCTAGCACCGATGCCTCTTAAACAAGGCGTGTCAGACACGACACTTGTAATTACGTTTAATATCTTGCTTGTGCTGGTTGTTAAATGTTGATCATTTGGTTCACTTGATTTAGATGTTTTTGAATTGGTTGTTTTGCATTGGTTCTTGCTTTTTCTTGAGTCATTTGATGACATTGTTGCATGTTTTGCATTTGGTTCACTTTTAAGCGTTTGATTTTTAGAAAAGCTCCTAGTGCATTTATATAAAAGCTCTTAGAGGAGCTTATGAGCAAGTATCATCCAAAGTCCGAACGAATGATTAGCATACCTAGAAGCAACTTTTCACATTAGAGCATCTATAAAAAGGTCTTCTCTTATAAGCTCTTCTAGATACACTTATCATGTTGGCAACTAGCTACATCTCAAGTGCTTCCAAGAGAGTCTCTATAAGAATAAGCTCTTCTCCCATTAGAGCTTATGAGTTTTTTTTGGATTGGAATATTTGATATTCTCTATAGGCATAAGCAATTGTGAGATTATTAGGAAGGGCTTGTGAAAACAACTTATAACATATTCATAGATTGTTTTCAGCATATTTCCCAAGCTCTCCATGATGGCTAATGAAAAGTGCTTATGGCGTATTTGAAAGATGTTCGACTTTATTTTATCTTTTTAAGTACTTACATGACAAGCACTTATACTAAAAGTTTTTAATTAAGTTAATATCCAAAAAAAAGGGCCTTAGCATCATCCAAACACAAAATTAGGTTAACTAGAAGCAATTTTTACAGTAGAACTTCTATGAAAAATCTTCTCCTATGAGCACTTCTAGATAAGCTTATCATAATTATGGTAAGATGTGACCAAATGAATGTCATAGTGTTTTTATTATTGTTTTCTGAATGATTTAGGTTCATGGATCTCATTCTTTTTTGCAGACTGAGGGTGATTACAAAGGTGCTGTCCGATTGGTAATTCGGTTTAGAGAAGCCGGCTTGAAGCCAGAAATCTACAGTTACCTTGTTGCAATGACTGCCATAGTTAAGGAGCTCAATGAGTTTGCCAAAGCTCTACGAAAGTTGAAAAGTTTCGCTAGGGCCGGGCTTGTTACCGAATTCGACCAAGAAGACGTTGAGCTAGCAGAGAACTACCAATCCGAACTTCTAGCCGACGGAGCTCGCTTATCCAAATGGGTGATTCAAGATGACACTCCTTCATCACTTCACGGAGTTATCCACGAGAGGCTCCTCGCCATGTACATCTGCGCCGGCCGTGGAATCGAAGCCGAGAATGAATTATGGGAAATGAAACTCGTTGGCAAAGAAGCCGACGTAGGTCTCTACGACATCGTTCTAGCCATATGTGCTTCTCAGAAAGAAACTGCAGCGATAGCAAGGCTAATGACGCGGTTGGACTTTGCGAGCCTGCCGCAGAAGAAGAAAAGCATGTCATGGTTGTTAAGAGGATACATTAAAGGTGGCCATTTCAATGAAGCAGCAGAGACTGTAATGAAAATGGTTGAATTGGGAATTTATCCAGAATATTTGGATAGAGTTGCTGTTGTTCAAGGTTTAAGGAAAAGGATTCATCAATATGGAAATTTAGAAACTTATATTAAGCTTTGTAAGTCACTTTCTGAAGCAAATCTTATAGGACCTTGTCTTGTGTATTTGTATACAAGAAAATATAAGCTTTGGGTTGTGAAAATGGTGTAAGAAATGTAGTAGTAGAGAAACTGTGGTTATTACTTGTATAAATTTGTATAGTTTTGATGTGAAATGAAGAAATTGTAATGGCAGATAAATAATGATTTTGATCTTTTCTGTGTCACTGTCATGTTATATATGATTATGTGGATGTGTTTGTTTTTCTTTAGCTCTATATGTTTCTTTTCTCATGTATAATAAATATTTTTGTCCCATATGTCACTCTAATCTGTTTGGAACCATAATCTTAGATGAAAAAACTTTGTTTCTATTTGAAAGTATATTTAGAGGGTCAAACAAAAAACAATGTTTTTTTTTTTTAATTTGATATTGGTCTCATGATTAATGAATCTAAGATGATGAATCTTACTGTTTATTAACAATAATTAAAAAAAAAATTGTATGAACTGGTTTAACACAAGAGTTATTTGTATTTCGAATATAAAAACAGGTTGTTTGTGTCTGGTAGAGTTCGAAATTTAAAAATTAAAATTTTATTTTAAAAAATACTTTTCTTAAGTAAATGTGTGGTGGAAAAGAAACTCTAATTGACTCATATTGCAGATTCAACGGCCTAGCATCGTGGTGTGGTGTAGCAAGTGATAAATGGGCTAAATATTGAGATTTTTAATTTACACTCTCATAATTCAATTTTAAACCCTCATAATTTTTTTTTAATTATATACAACTAACAATGTCGGATAGCAAATTCTAAAAAATCATTTTCCTTCCATAATAATGATGACACCTATTTAAATTTGAATTTTAAAAATAAATAATAAATGACCTAGTAATAAATAATTCTTAAACATAAAGTATTCAATGTCTTTCCATATAAACTAATGTTTTGTCAAACACTTACAACTTCCCTTCCTATCACCTACATCTTTTAATAAACAAACATAAATTATTTGAAAAAATTTAATGGCTTCAAACAACCCTCTTGAAAAAAATGGAAAATTTCTTGAACAAAAAGTTAATGAAAAACTTCTTGATATGAGAATTGCAAATATTATTGACGATGAACATAACACTCATATAACAAATTTGCTTGCAAGAATGCAAACATATCATATGGAGCTTGAAACCATAGTGTAAGTGGTGTGTGTATCTTCTCCAATAAATCGATTATGTTTGCAAATACAAGTTGCTTGTATTTTTTTGTCATAATGTTTGCTAGATCTGTTTGCTTGCACTATGTTTTCACTACATGCATTCTATTTGCTTGCTTGATCGAAATGTAGTTCCTTGCATTCTATTTTAAATCAACAAGAATTTTTTAAACACGTGTTATCTATGTCTATTGTTTGCTTTATCATTTGCTAACTAATTGTATTTTATAAAACACAGTCAATGTAAAAATTTCCTTCATGTTTTGCTAAAAAAATTGGAGACAAAATTGCACCATATTAGATTCTTTAGGATCCAAAAGATAATGTGTTTGAGGTGCAAGTCCTAAAGAAAAAGGGAGAGAGATATTTTAATGATGGGTGGCTTGGATTGAGAGATGTTTACGACATAAAGTTTGATGCTTGAGTTACATTCAGATATATAGAAAATGACATTTTAACTATAAGACTTACAAGTAGGTTTGATGAAGAAATTGAGTATGCACCTCTATTCTTCCAATTAAACGACTTTTGGTTAGAAAATCTCTTGAAACTACCTCATCAAATACTACTTATTTTCCCCTTCCCTTTTTAGCCATCTTGAACCAAAATTTTTTACTTTTAGTTTTACGAAAGCATTGACGTCCTCTGATGTGTTGGTATATTTTTCTATTCTTGATCTTATATTTTTTTTACTAAAACTTATTAAAAATCAATTTTTCCTTTGTGATTTAATATATTTTTTCGTGTTGTATTGACCATAAAGTTTAACTTGACATTGATCCTGTCAAACCGCTTTACCATTTGTTGTTTATGAATTATTTTTGGTTGATTGCGTTGGTAATGAATTTAATTGTTTTTTGATATCGAACCAGAAATGTCGTGCAAGATATCTGGAGGATGGATTGATATTTGCAAGTTGTGCCATTTATTTAAAGGGATGAAAATAAAATTTAATGTCATTGAGAGCAACAACAATGAGATCATGTATGCCCAGATCCTACCAAAATTTGGAGCAAGAACAACTTTGATTCACCCTTTTAAGGATGGAATATTAGTTCCTATTTCCGAGATTTTGGGTCAAACTTTAGCTCTGGAAAGGAATAACTTTCATGTGTTTCGACAGGAGACAAACATGAAGTCGAAGCTAGATCAAATGCTGATGTCGAAGGGTTACATACTGTAGTCGAAGCTAGTTGTTCTAGTATGTAATGTCGAAATATAATGTTGACTTATTATGTTAAATTGGGTCTTGTGTTAAGGATTCAATTGTAAGTTAGCTAGTTAGTCTATAAATATGCTAGATCACTCAGGTTGTTGAGTGAGACCAATTGTGATATTCATTTGTAATCATTTGTAAACCCTTATGAGAAAATGAATAGTAAACAATTTTCCCTAATCCTTTTTCTTCTTTCTTCTTTATCCTTTCTTCTTTCTCCCTTTGTTCTAACCGTTTTCATTGTTCACCAAAAACTCCGTTACTTAATCTTTATTTATTAAAAGATATCGTTTGTGATCACAACAAACTAGTGCGGTGAGTATGGAGAAGATGACGTCAACAAAGTTTAAAGTTGAGAAGTTCACCGGAGTTAATGACTATGGTTTATGGCGTTTGAAGATGCGAGCCCTTCTTATTCAACAGAGTTTTCTAGAAGCGTTAAAGGGAGAAGATGCCATGGATGCTGCATTGACAGAGAAGGAAAAGAAAATGATGATGAAAAAAGCCCACAATGCAATTGTTCTGAGTCTTGGTGATAAGGTTCTCAGGAAAGTTCCAAAGAAGACGACGACAACTGGTGTTTGGCTGAAACTCGAAGGATTGTATATGAAAAAATCCTTGGTGAATCATTTGTACTTGAAGCAAGATTTTTATTCATTCAAGAAGAATGAAGATAAAGCGTTGACAGAGCAGTTGGATATGTTCAGCAAGCTAAATCTTGATCTTGAAAATATTGATGTTGCCATCAATGATGAAGATCAAGCGTTGTTATTGTTGTGTTATTTACCTAAGTCTCATGCTCACTTCAAAGAAACCCTCTTGTATGGAAGAGAGTCCATGACCTTTGAAGAAGTTCAAGCAGCCTTGTATTCGAAGGATTTGAACAAAAAAAAAAGAGCAGAAACCATCATCATCAGTTGGCGAAGGGTTGTCCGTAAAAAGGAAATCATCAAAGAGAGATGGTAGATTTGAGAAAAAGAAAGGTAAAACTCAGAAGAAGTCTTATGGTGGTGATATTTCTGGGATTAAGTGTTATCACTGCAAAAAGGAGGGTCACACAAAAAATATGTGCCTTGAGCGCCTGAATAATCATGGAGGTAAGGACAATGGAAATGCAGCTATTGTGCAAGATGATTATGAATCATTTGATGTCCTTGTGGTGTCGAGCAGCAAGTCTTACAAAGAGTGGATTATGGATTCTGGATGTACTTGGCATATGACTCCAAACAAGAATGTATTTGAAGAATTATGTGATCAAGATGGAGGATCAGTGTTGTTGGGAAACAATAAAGCTTGCAAGATTGCAGGTATTTGATTTGTAAGTATGTACCTAACCTTAAGAGGAATATAATTTCTCTTGATGAATTCGAAAAGAAAGGATATGCCTTCAAAGGAGAGCAAGGTATCCTAAAAGTCATGAAGCGGTCGAAGGAAGTCTTAAGAGGCGTGAAGAAACAAGGCTTGTATACCTTTGAGGTTGAGGTTGTAAGTGGTTCAGCAGATTTTGCATCTATGAAACCGGTGGCGAAGAGAGAATTATGGCACATGAGATTGGGCCACGTCAGCGAAAGAAGTCTGGTCGAAGTGGGGAATCAGAACCTACTAGGTGGTGAAAAAGTCGAGAAGTTGGAGTTTTGTGAAACTTGTATATTCAGTAAATCCTGTAGGACGAAGTTTAACAAAGGTAAACAAGGAACACATGAATTCTTTGATTACATTCATGCTGATATTTGATGGCCTGCAAGGAATCCTTCACATTCAGGTGCAAGGTATTTTCTATCCATAGTTGATGATTATTCTAGAAAATTATGGGTATTCATTCAGAAGACTAAGGATGAAACTTTTGAGAATTTCAAAAGTTGGAAGGTTTTGGTCAAAACTCAAACAGGCAGAAAAGTTAAGAGGTTGAGAACTAACAATGGCCTTGAGTTCTCCAACGAAGCTTTCGACCGTTACTGTGTTGAGTCTAGGATTGCAAGGCATAAGAATGTAGCAGGTACTCCTTAAAAAAATGGATTAGCTGAGAGATTCAATTGAACAATCCTTGAAAGAGTTAGATGCATGCTGGTTAGTGTTGGATTGAAGAAGGTATTTTGGGAGGAGGTTGTTTCGATAACACTTTATCTGATAAATAGATGTCCCTCAACTTCCCTGGGAATGAAGACACCTGAAGAAGTTTGGTCAAGTCAACCACTAGATCTCGACAAACTGGGAGTATTTGGTTGTTTATCCTATGCTCACATTAGGCAATACAATGTCGAACCTAGAGATCTAAGATGCATGTTCCTTGGATATCATGAGGGAGTCAAAGGTCATAGGTTGTGGTGTCTAGAACCAGGTCACAGAAGATGTATTACAAGTCGTTATGTAGTTTTCAATGAAGTTGAAATGACGTTTAAGAAAACTGGTGATGCTGGTATATATTAAGAATACAATTTAAAATAATAAATATTATAATTAATTAAATATATATATATATATATATATATATATATATATATATATATATATATATATATATATATATATATATATATATATATATATATATATATATATATATATATATATATATATATATATATATATATATATATATATATATATATATATATATATATATATATATATATATATATATATATATATATATATATATATATATATATATATATATATAT